GGTTTGCTGAGTACAAGAAAGATGTCAAAATAATTATTTTCGTGGATGAGGAGACAGGTAAGACCTCTCCATTTTATAAGAGGAGTGAATGAGCAGTGAATCAGCACACACGGGCTTGTCGTATAAAAAAAAAAAGTCTCTTGTTTTTCATCTTCTCTTGTCGAAAAGTTAGCTGAGATGAGAAGGAGGTGTGTTGCACTAGGGACAGGATGAAGACATGGGAGGATGTTGTGGATACTCTTAAGAGGATTTAAATAGAGAGAGTGTAAGTGAGGGTGTTGCAGTAGAGGCACCACAAGAAAATAGGACACAAATCTATAGAAAAAGAACAATTTGTACTTAGTCCTGGTGAAACAGTGACTCTGTATTGGTGGAAGATAGTGGGCCTAATTCTCAGTGGATTTAAAGTGAAGTCTGTACCTTGAACTTGGTGAACTTCAGCCATGAGGCTGCCTAAAGTCTAGCTTTATATCCAGCCACTATCAAAACCAGGACTCTCAAGACAGCCTTAAAAGCAGGAGAAAAAGAAAGTAAGGGACTGTAAGCAGTTTCAGAAGAGTTTTATGTCACTGCTATTCTGCCAGCATGTCTGTCTCTGGTTATGGGGTTTTTTTTATTATTATTCTTTTTTTATTTTGGTGTTTGTCCAGACATTTTAGGTAAGAAGGAAGCTCTTCAGCTGCCAGGAGTAGCAAGTTAGAAGTGTTTTGGTCCTGGAGGCTTAGTTTGAAGTGTAAGACAGGAACAAAGCTTGTGTGAACATCCATGGAGGGAGGATGTCTACAATGGTTTTAGTGCTAGGTATAAATTTAAAATTGCATTAGAAAATCCTGCAATAATAAATATTCATAGTTCCCTCTTTGTTATGAAATTTGGACTTTATCTGAAAGAGCTGTTCTTCTTCAGTGGCTAAGTCAGATCCATCCTTGGGCATATGTAACAATATTGAAGTTAAGCTTAGGTGTTATGGGGTTTACATGAAATTCATGTAAAATCCATATTGTGGATTCAGATGAAATCAGGACTCTAAGTTTTTAAGTACGTTTCACAAGAATAGTATGAGGTAGATCCTGCCACGGGGATGCTTTCAGTCTAAACATGAGTTTTTTATCTCACTTTTACAAGAAGCTTGAGATAGAGACGTTAGGAATTGATCATGTGGCTTTTCAAAAGCAGCCACTGTAGTTTGACTGTGTTCTGAATTTTTCAGGAGCTGCATAGCTATACTGGCATCACTCACAGCCTGTAGTAACATCTCCCAGTCCTCAGATGGACCTCTTTCTCAGGACTGCAATGTGGTTAAGGGAGCCAGTGGTCAGTCCTCCGCCCAGAGGACAGAGTTGGTTCATGTCTGCTCCAAAAGACCACACAGACCGTATTGGTGCTAGAAACTTCAGCTATTGAATAGACAGCTGCCTAGGCTAAGCTAGTTCTTAGCCTTGTTCTACAGATGTAGTCAGTGGAGAGATGGAAATACACTTACAGTGTGATTGACCAACACTACCACCTTAAAATGGGATTATCCTTGTCTAGAAATTCTCTCCTCATGAACTACAGAGGAAACTGCTTGTTGGATAGGGTAGAAGCATGTTTTAGCCATCTGAAGTTAAACCAATATTTAAATAATAATAATTCCAATAATTGAATGACTACTTTTTGTTTTCACCAAAGTCAGTGACAGGGGATGAGGACTCCCAAAGGATCATCCATCCCATCAGAGAGGAAGTGACTAACACTCTTCTGTCTATGCTATGAAGAGGGCATAGATAGTTGCCCAAGGTCAGATGCCAAGCTTTACACCACTTATGTTAACAGAGATGTATCTCACAAAGTTTACCAAATGTGAATTTCAGTCTGCAGGTTGCAGTGCAGAGGTGGGAAGACAGGGCAGAGTTTGTGCTTTTTGCAAGGTTACCTGCTTTCAACACCATCCATTAACAAGACCACCACTTTTCACTCTAGCCCACATGAAATCTTACACTTTAAAATTATCTGTTGCTATTACTGCTTTCTAACATGTCAAGAACCAGGAAAATTTGCCCACTTGAAGCTGCACCTTGCTGCTTGCAGTGTCTGAGCTACCTCTTTCAAAATTAGCTTGAGCATATCCTTACATCACATGGCAAAGGAGACATTCTCTCCGTGTGAGTGGAGAAGCCCGCTGTGTAGTTTCACACTCAAGTCACCTTGATTTCCGTGGGCAGATTTCACCCAACAGGAATTTCTGGCTGTATCATGGTTTACAAATGTAAGGGGATTGTGCACACTGACCTTAATTACATTTACTTTTTTGTCATTCTTTTCTTTGCTTTAAAATGTTTCAAATATGGTTTTCCAGGCAGGATCAGACAACATTATCATTGATTGTGAATTCTCTCCAGTCTCTGTCAAATCACCTATTTTAGTAGCTCAGGAAAATTACTTCACTTTCTGCTTCTCTATCCCTGCCTTCCAATGTCAGCACATCATTGCTTTGTAGTACAACAAACTTAGAATGTCTTTTTTAAATGGGGCTATTTTTTTAGCTCTGCATGGTACCACTAGAAAACCAGCCACCTGGTATAACTGAATTAGATTCACAGTGCTAGGAAGTATTTATTCCATGTCTACACTTTTCTTTCCACAGTATGAGGATTTCCCTGCATTTCTCTAAGTTAGTTTGCATTATCCCAGTGTTTGGAAGACAACTGCTGTTGGAATAATAATAAAAAATAAGAAAGCTTTCTCTATTCCTATCAAATTCATTTCACTTAAGTGAGCCAGGCTTGTAGGTGGTTCTCAAAAGATCTCATTAGCCACTTTGATTGTTTCTAATACCTCTTGTAAGCAAATGTCTCATTACCATGGATATTTACATATCCTTTTGTACTGAGTGCCATACATCAGTGAACTATAAAGCTACACCTCTTCAGACTTACATGGTAGGAACTGTATTTTCCATGTGGGCAGACACTAGCTACCAAAGACAATAAAATTTAATAACACTCAAGGTGATCTGGATTTCCATCTTTAGAAAGTTGATTGTATTACAAAACTTTTCAAAACCCAGTCTTCGAGACTTTTTTGAGATGTTCTAGTGAATCACAGTGTTCATACAGTGAGATCCCTACCTGACAAAAGAAACAATGAGGGGTAGGAGTGGAAAAGAGAGATAGGAGAGGGAAACGTAAAGGATTCTTTTTTTCCAGCTCCTGCAATGAATTAATGAGCATTCTTGCAGTAATATTGTATTCTGGAGGATCTGGCAAAGCTGAGAGATTTTTAGCTAATAGGATCAGGATTTTATACAGTTATTAATTTACATGATGTGATCTGATGGTGCATCCTTTACTTTGAAGGTATGATTATCAACTGCTTATTATAAGCCATTAGTGTATCATCATAACAGTGTTGTTTGAGTCTGACCTAATTCTTCAAAAGCTGTATCACTCATCACTGCCCTATCCACCACACATGGTAGAATCTGGCTTATATTTTGTGAGAAAACATAGGGCTTGATTTGCTGCCACTGAAGCTGATGGAAAAAACACACCAAGTCCAGTCCTTTGAGCATACACTTTGCACTGATGGAAATCTGTTTCTATCAGCAAAGTTGATAAAGCCTAAACTGTTTTTACAAGTTGATCACCCAAGCCTCATTAAATTGTACTTGTGCCAGGCTGAAAATATGACACTTTGAAGTGTTATCTGTTTGTACTGAAGATCTTATTTTTCCTGGCGCATAGTCAAAGAGAGAACATATCAATGGAAAACCACTGAAAAAAATTGTGGAGCTTGCAGCTTTTAACAGTTGATAATCTTATGTGCTTGATCTCAACATCAAATGCAAATAAGTAGTGGAGTTATTTAGATTTAGTTTTTCTTTCTTCTCCTGCTGAGGTAGATGATGATCCACATTTGTGACTCCTTCACTAAGTAATGTTTTTGGACATCAGTAGGAAATTTAAGAGATTGGTCTGAGCTTTACTGTACACTGGATAAGCCTTCTAGATTTATGAGCTAATAAAGTGGTGGTTTACAGAATTACAGGAGGAGTCATGCATAGATAGCTGCTTCTTGAAAGTCAGTCATACTCTGCCATGTCTTTGACATAGTGATCAGAAAGAGGCAGGAGCTGGCTCCTTTATTGTATTTACACATGGGATTTTTTTTTATATATATCCTAAGAGGAGACAGCGTCCATCCACAATCCCATCACCTTCTCTTTCTGCATACTTGTAACAAGAGGTTGGTTCTTACCACTCAGATCTTTCATTCAAACATTGTTCCCTGAAGCCTAATGTCTGACCAGTTGTTAAATGCCTGATTCTGTCTTTAGTTTATGCAAGAAATCATTACAGGCCAAAACCCTTTTGACAAGACTATAGTAAAGATGGTGAATGATATTACAACAATTATTTACCAAGGAAGGACATTTGTACTTTCAGTATTTTTTTTTTTAATAAAATGGACAACATGAAAGAGGTGAACTTCCCTCACATAGCCACAAAACTGGCTGTAGGGTGAAGCAGAGTCTGTTTTTCAGTTTCCAGTCATCTCCCTGGGTCAGTTTCCAAAATGTGCAAGACCAAACCTCTGAGAAGGATTAAAACCAACAGAAATTTATAGAATTTAAATAAAATATTCCTAAAGATTTACATCAGCAATACTTGAAGATAGCTAAATGGTACTAAAAGATAGCTCCATGGTGGTTGATACCATGCTCGGGGAAAACTTGTTTCTGTTATATTTAGTGATTTAACTGGGACTAAGAAATGTTGTCTTCTGCCAGGGTAGAGTCTGGTCATTATTGTACCATGCAACTATATATTTTATGCTGTTTTTATGAATGAATATTATTTTATTCCAGGGAAAGCTTATTAGAAGATTACTGTTTATTGTTCTAAATGAGCACATTTTTATGGATAGAAGAAAGTACCAACTATAAAGTGCAGTAACGGTGTGCAGAAAGGAACAGATTCCCACCACTAATGTATTTTCTTCCTCCTTCTCTTTTATAGGTTGCCCAGGAATGTGGGACAATATTACTTGCTGGAAACCTGCAAGTGTGGGTGAAATTGTCTTTGTCAAGTGTCCTGCACTGTTCAGATTTATCATCTCTGAAGATGGTAAAGTATTTTCTCTGTTTTTCTTTGCCTCTGATAAAGCTGCATGGCCAGCATGAGTGTGCTGGCTGCTGGCCAGCATGGCCAGCACGTCACTTAAACACTCAGTATAAAGTGAAACAGAAAACTGTACAGATGTCTGGAGCTGGGCTTCACATTAAAAATATACTGCAGAAAACCAGGATATTTGTGTGTAAATATGTGTTTGTACAGGATTGTGTGAAAAATGCCTTCACATACAGAATGAAAATATCCCCAACTCTAATTTCCAAGGGGGTGTTCTCCCCTTGGGTTTCCACTGAAATCAATGAGACTCAAAACTGACTGAGTCTTGGATAATTTGGATAATATTTTAGACTATAACTAAATTTCAGAGCTGGGTTCTGCTTATGCCCAAGGAGACCATAGGGATGAGATGACCAATATAAAGATCAAAATTGTTGGGAGTCCAGGGAAGAGTCAGTGGGAAATAAAGACTCCTGGAGAGATGCAGAAGCTCCAGCATGCCTTTTAGTAGTCTGTAGAAATGAGATATCACCATCCTTCTGCCCGTTGAAGCTGATAATATCAACCAAGACAACAATAGAAATATCAGAAATTTGGGCTGTTTCTGCTTCCAGCACACACTGCTGCATAACACAGTTGTCCCTTGTGTTGCAAAAAACATCGTATATGGTCAGTTAGGCTCTTTTCTTTCTTTCTGCTACCACTTAAAGCTTGGACCAAAAGTCCCAGACACGCACTGTGCTTGGTGATGAAACCCTATTAGGGTCCAACTTCAAGCCATAAATAACCCAGATGCTGCTCTCAATTGAGTTGTTATTAAAAGGAAAACCTACCTTAGCAGTGGTAATAATAGGCATTTTATCTAGTTATTAATATTAACTAGTGCTTTTTAATGGGTAGAGTCTCTTCACAAGTTACTATTTATATGGTACAAAAAAACCTCTTGTCCTTTCTTGTTTTTTGGGGGTTTTTGTTTGTTTGTGGGGGTTTTTGTTGTTTTTTTTTTTTTACCTTTCAAATGCAAGAAAATTTGCCAGGTAAAAATGAGTGAGTGGACAGGAGAAGATAACTAATAAGTTCACAGCAGATATATGGATTGATTAGATGTTCCACTTGAAATTACTTTTTTTTTTTCTCATGATTCCATGAAATTTTCTTCCCAGCTGAATGACTAAGGGAGGCTAATTCCTCCTATCAGTGTTAGTTAACAACAAGACTTTGGTAATAATTAACACAATTTTGTCCATCTCCTGCCACTACCGATCTAGGCTATTGCAAATCACTTAATTAACACTGCCCATTGAGGAGAAAGTTCATTGTTTTCCCTTGGATCCATTTTCCCAAAGACTATTCTACTAATGAATTAATCATCCAGAATCTTGAGTCCAAAATCCACCTTCTCTGTTGCCACACACATCACAACTTGTAGGTGACAGTGAGTGTTTCACACACAACTCCAGGAACACTGAAACCCTCACCTTTAAATACATCCTTTTGAACTCATCCAGACATTGAAGCAAGTGCCTGTGGAATGGAGAGGAACCTAAGGGTGATCATTACTTCATCTAAACTTAGCCATATGGCACACGAGCCTTTTCTCTATACTAGTCCACTGGACTCCACCTGTAGTCAGTGAAGAGAAAGAGACACGCAGAAGTCAACCTGTGCTATTCCAAGAGACGTGAGGTGAATCATAACTTGGAGATGTCTCTCTTTATCCAGCAAAGACAGTTGACTTAAACCAGGCACCTAATTTTTGAACAGGAAAAGATAAGTCCCTCTTTAAATTATCAAGTATGAAAATATAATTACTGCTGTAATTCTATGTACTTTAATTGTAGCCAGTATAATTAAACAAAATCTTTACTGCTATAATACTGGTTCAGTATTAATTCAGTAGGCAATGGCACTTACTGAGCCCTCCACATTTAGTGATAATACTAAAAACAATACAGCAGAATCCAGTAAGGTTTGTATCTAGCACAGGCAAGGAAACATTCTTCTCTCTTCCAGATTTTTTTTTTAAATGTAGGGTTTATTTTTTTAAAATTCTTCATGACTTTGTAATCGATTTTTTTTTTTTTTTTTTCAATCACTTTTCATTCAGCCTGAGTGTCAAACCAATTCTGGTCATCCTTTGTGCAGGATATACACTCAACCAAAAGTTCTTGGTTTCCAGTTATCAGTAATGCTTGCAGCCTGCAGGCAGAATACTTTTATGTTATTTATTGTGCATCAGCAGATGGCTGATATATTGTAATCTTCTGATATAACTGCAGGAAGCCTGCTGCTCATACAGCACCTGTCCGAATGTCCATTAAGACCTCTCCTTTCTGGTGGTTTGTGATCTACTTCCACTACATACCCTTGAGCTACAGCACACTAACATGTGGTAACATAAAATGACACTTTTCTCTCTCTCTCCCTGCCTGTTTGTGGATGTGATGCTCAGGGATGTCGCTAGTTGATACTATGGGGAGTGGGGACATTTACATCTACAGCACAGGGAATCTTCCCCACTGCCAAACTGTCCACACACCTTTGACACGGACTTTTCACCTATTCTTTATTTTGAAGGATGTTTCTGCTGTTTCTATTTATGTCCTACAAAAATATGGTGCCTTTTCACTTTTACTCATGAATTTTCTTTTCCATGATGCTATTATTTCTGAAGTAATTAAAGTTAGAATGGCTCTTGAGAAATCATCCCGCCTCAAAAGCAAGGTTAGCTCAATGTGATCTATTCCAGTGTTTAATGAACCTGTTACCTGTTAATGGGAAAGACTTTTAATTAAAAAGTAATACATATTTTAGAAAAAAAATAGAAAAGTATTTATATAAAATTAAAAACTACTATAACCAGAACTATGTAAAGTAAAAGCTTGCAATAATATTTTTAAATTATTTGCCTAGGATTTCCAGACCTGTTCACATACTGTACTTCACATTTGACCTGTAGCAGCATGATAGTATGACACTAGGGGAGGAGTAGTTAGACCAGTGTAAACATATGTCCTGTTTTCTTTATCTCCTTACAGGATCACTAACACAAGTGACAGCTGTTACCTCTTGTAGTGCTGGGTTTGAGGGGTTTTTGGACATCTGTTCAGTAGGAACAAACCCAAGATTCATAATTTCATTAGACAGACAAATAAACATTTAATCTGGAATAGCTTGAAATCTCTACAGATCTGGCTGGATTTGCACTAGTGAACCCAAGGTGGAAATATTGACATCCATAATCACTCTCCTGGGTGAATCAGCATGAGTTTTCACTGGCATTGTTGCTACTTTTAATTAGCCAAGCATACTTATTTCAATGAGGGCTTAATGAAAAAAAGTCACGTTTTATGATGGTTGCTTAAATAAGGGTTATTAGATAACTAAAATGTTGCTAAGACACATATAATCACATTTTATAGATTGTTACGGTATCCTCTGGCTGCTGCTATGTTGCTAGAATATGTAACTAGGCTGGGAACTGACACTAATATTTATTAATAGCATATTCATTCTTAATACAGAAGAATGTTTATATGACCATAAATTGGTTTTACCAACAGTAACAATAACTTTAATTTATACTTTTAAAGTTTGTCCTATGGATCACTGAAGCACCTGTAGGTCCAGCTGTTTGTACAGCAACAGGCAAACCATGCAATGTGCTGTTCTTAAAGAAGGGGTGGGAGTTATCTCATTTGGCTTTGGATATCTAAATGTTATATGTGTAAGTCTGAATGGTTCACATGGACTTCTAGTTCAGCACATGGAAATGGTACTTGTAGAAGATATTTTCTCTGACCTATCTCAAATGCTTATCTTGAGATTAATGAAGGCACTGGAGGGAGGTGTTTGTTTATGAATTTCAGAAAGGAATTTGGCTGCTTTGACTTGGATATTTGAATTCCATATGCAGTAAAATGAAAAAAAAAAAAAACAAACCCTACAAAATAAAAATTATCAACTAAACTGTTATCTTGAGAGATGCCTTGTTGAAAAAGTATCTATGGATTTAGCTGAAAATAGCAGTTGTTGGTGTTTTTCAATTTGAAAATATTCTCTGCTCTAACCTTCACTATAATCAAACTGAAGAGTAACATTTGGACTGCTGTTAACGTCATACAGAAACCCTAATGTTAAATCCCAAGTTGTGTGGCTGGTGACCCTTTCTTGTAAAACTTCATTTCACCTCTCTGCTCCTACAAAATCACCAGAATTCTTCATTTCTGTTAGGATGCAGACTGTGAACAAAAAGATCATTCTCCAAATCTCTCCACATGAAAAACTATATAAGCTCCTGAGCGTTTTCTTATCTAACAGGCTAAGGGCTTACAGTGGCTTTCCCTCTGCAGGGTTCCTAAATATTAATAATGTTAAATTAATATTAAATATTTTTCTCTTCAATATTCATTTATTTGGTTGATATCCATCAATTCACAATTTTATTTTCAATGGGAGCTATAATTTCCATGCTGTCGTTGTTGTATATTGTGCTTTCCCTAGTGCCTTCCCAGTACTAACTCCAGACACAACCGTGCTCTGATGGAGATTATTTAAAGTATTCTAAGGTATCTTTGCAAAGGAAGGAAAAAAAAAGGCGTGTCAAACTGTGATGTTGCGTTTTATTACGGCATAGGAAGACCTACAGATGACCCAAACATACTGATCTGCACTCCCAGGTGGAAAATGTTCCCTGGTGGTGTTTTCTTTTTCTTTTCCCTCCCTCCTTCTTTTTTTTTTTTTTTTTAAGGACACAGGTGATACTGTCTGGCAGTGGAAATCTACAGAATCCAAGCCTGTGCTTTCCTTTCTTTGCCCTGCACAGCTGAGATATTCTGGAACATAAAAAGCCACATTACTCAAATGGACCATTGAAAGAAACTCAATCAGATCAGAAATAAGCATATTTTTTAGATCTTTGATTTGCAGTAAAAACTAATACAAATTATAATATGCAGTTTCTGAGCATAGCCATATGCTCCACACTGAGAAAACGC